GGGCGCGGGGGGGGGGGGGGGGGGGGGGCGCAGCACAAGATGTGGGACAGGCAGGCAAGAGTGAAGGATGTTCTGGAAGTGGGCAAGGCCACCCTGTCAGACAATGATACATGGGCCCCAATCCTCATCCTGTTTGCATGTCTTTTTGGTTTTAACCTATTTCAGACATCAATTCATTCTGTCATTCTCTCTTCCCTCTCAATATTCCACATTTTTTATTGTTTGTTAAATATTTTTGGTACCAATTTCAGGGTTTCTCAGATTTCCTAATTTCAGAAAGAGCTCTTGTCCTACCCTCAATCCACCAAACCACAGCCAGGCTGTTCATAGGTTCATACACAACATAAGGAGCTGAAGACGTATCTATGAGGTCTAATACATGAAAATGTTGGCAAAATAATCGCATCCAGATCTTGTAGTGGAATGAAGTGTATTTATGACATGACTTATGAACATATTATTAGACAGACTGATCTGAAGAAGATGCTTCAGACATGACTACCATGCAGGTTAAAAAGACATATATATATTCCTATTCTTTTGGTGACAGATGATTAAAAACTACTGCATTCAAGTGCTAGCTTCTTATGAAATGTATCACTTCAGTTTTGGCAGTGAGCACTCTTAGCCTTTGAAAACAAAGCTAACCTGGGAAATCTGTATCTTTGTAGGCAATGTTCATGAACAAAATATGAAGGTTGCATCAGACCCTGTGACTCCTGCCAACAATTACTCTGCTGAAAAAAGCACAAAAGAGAAGGCAAGAAAATAACCAGTAAAAATGATGACACCAAAGAAAGTCTAGCCCTTTGTCTAGTTTTATTCTTTGAATCTCATTTTGTTGAAACCTGGCCAAAATTGATGAAGTCATTGTTTTGTTTTCTTTTTGAAATTAGCTTCAGCTTCTATGTTTTTCCTATGCAATTTTCAGGCCACTTCTTAGTAAAATGAAGATACCTGAGCTAGAAACCCTAGCCACGAGAGCCATACAGTGCATCAGCATTATAAATATAAAATAAATAAATGAATAGATTAGAGAGAAACTATGCAACTCAAGGTGAAATACTATAGGACTAAAATAGACACAGTTCAGCCAAGATTTTCTGAATGGGATAAATGAACTAGTTAAGAAGTGGATGCTGGGACAATAATCTGATGAATATGTTGAACAAGTGTGAGCATTATCTGCATGTAATACAAGTTTATAATGGAATTAAACATGGGCAAATCTGTTACAAAATAGTGGTTTTTTCTTACTGTAGAAAAGTCACTCTGGCAAATGTATCAGTGACTTATTGGCACATAAGAATGTGAAATTTATGGGGAAAAGGCCCAAATAACTTGTTCTATGAATAGGACCCTAAAGGATTATCTTAAACACTTCCATATAGTGCACATCATAGCATTAGAATGTAACAGTATATACAAAAATGGAAATATAAAAAAGGGGGGGGTAAGAAAGACTGAAAATCTCATTGAACAGGATATAATGAATCATTTATATAGTTTATTTCTCTAAAGTTTCTATAACAAAAGCTGAAAGCATACATGCAGTTTTAGGAAGTCATGCACCTGGCATCTCAGTTATGATAGAAAGATAAGCAGGCTATACATATGCCTTAATCTCAGCAATTATTTTGTTGCTAAGACCTTAAATTAATTTTTTTGATTGAAATATCACTAATATTATTCCGGAACTATGCTTGAGTTCAATGAACTTACTACTATTCTATTACAAATCCAGATGAAACCAATTTTCTGGTAAAATGATTCTTGTTCTTTTCATTAGAATGACACACATATTAAGTTGTGCTTCATTTGTACTCTCCAATATAGATGTTAGTGGTGTAATGTATCATGTAGCAAAATTACATTTGCAGACAACTTTACACAGTGTATATATACTGAATGTCTCATGTGGTTAACAATAATACCTACTAATATGGAAAGAAGCTAGTATAAACTCTTAATTTTCAAGCTAAAATTTTAGTCCTAAAGTGAGAAGCATTCATTAGAACTAATGCTTTGGGGAAAATTATATCATCTGAAACAAAACTGGTCTAGTAGTCCCAGGTTTACATTAGGTGTAAGCTCCCATTTCAAGGTTAAGTCAGGTCTAATGCTGGGTTTGAATGCAGTGACACCACATCCAAAGATCAACTGTATTAAAAGTGGAAGTCTCATGAAATATATTTTTCTCAGGAGTTCTCCATTATCTGATCCATAATCTAGGAAAAACCATTCCTGAGAGATTCTGGCTGTATCTGAACTGAAATGGAAATGTGATCCCTTTCAGACATGCCCCAAAAGCAGAACTGTAAAGGCAACTTCCTGTCTGGAAATTAACATTTGAATCATCATAAATTCAAACAGACTCACATACAAGACGCTTGCCACTTATCGCTTTAAAAAAAGTCCTAAAGTTAAAAAACAGGCCCCAGTGACTTCAGAAAAACTCCCTGGGAGTTCAGAAAGGATGTGGTAATCATCTTAATTTTCTCTATGCTGAAGCATAGAGTACCTTCATTTCCATCAGTTTTTACTGCATAATCCTTAAAATGAACAGTGTCCACAATTGCTCTTACATATCCTAAAAGCATGTAGACCTCTGCTCATAGCAGAAAATATGCCCAGATTGATCTCATCTTTCTCCTTTTTCTGTACACTGCGTAGTTTCCTAGTCCTTTCGCTGGAGGAACAAGGTATACTATGTTGACCTGTGTACTGTTGCATAGGAAGCTGTAGTGCATGGGATCAAGTGTTTGGAGGTATATTACTGTATACAATGCATACAGCTAGATATCTAGCTACAGAATGTAGCAAATAGATTTTACAGTGGCAGTTTGTTTATTGCTTACGTACTGGCTGGCTGCAATTTAGTTTATCACACAGCTTTAAAAGATTATGGCATTTTTTGCAGGTGGCATTTTTGTTTACGAGCTAGGGACATCACGCACAGAGCTGCTAGGCCTTTTCTTCTGAAAGGGCAAGTGACCGGGTTTGTCTCCAGAATCTGATTTTTGCGCGCACTGGGCCTGATTCATTAATCACTTCCACTAGCTTCTGCCAGAAGAAGCTTAGGCTGTGAGCCGCTGTGGTGGAAAATCCATCCAACACCGAGGAGTGGAGTGTTAGAGCAATTCAAGGTGCTAGCAAGCCTTGTTCTTGAGGAGGGCAGAAGCCAGCTGGCACACAAGAAACTGTAGGTGTGGCAAACTGAAGAGTGGGAATGGCCAGTTCTCCCAGGAGATATACTGATTCAAAATACTTACTGGGCAACTTCCAGTGTCAGGCCTCCTAAGGAGAACATGTCATACTTCACAGCTGCCTGCTGCTGGCAGAAATCACAGGGTTGGCAATGACATGAGTATCACCTGTGCTTGCCTGGGTATAATTCAACCCAAGGGAACTGCAGGCCTCACCTTTTAAGGGGTATTTGTGTGAAAATTGCTGCCTTTCTCCCAGTGCTAGAGGCAGATTAATCAAATGCACTACAGTAAAAAAAAAAAAAAAAAAGATGTTTTTGCTTTAATTACTTTCTCTCTTTTCTGGAAAGGGTTTACATGAATGTCACATTGTACTGTAAGGCAATACGTGCAAGGGGGTGACTGCTGACCATAAACCATCCTGAATTATTGTGTTTGTACACATGGTCTGTTGATCAGTGGTATCGCAAAGTCCTGCATGAGCTGCACACCTTGAACAGACTACAACATCTGGGGTGGAAGGCAGCAGCTGTTTAAACAGCACAAAACATCACTACAAATCAGTTGAGCACAAGTCATGAAGTATACTGTATGTGACCGGTTTTCATAAAATGTGTCTAAAAATAAAATGTGATTGCAACACAGTAACAGCAACTGTATAGTGAAAACTCCAGCTTTACATTCAGTCACAGAAATTGTCTATGCCAGTGTACCTAAATACACATGCTTTTGCATATAGACACATAAAGATCTGGACTTAGGCAAACAGAAGGAATATAAGGAGTAATTATCCAATTTAAGATTTGAAAGGGACACAGGCAGTTAACCTCTTTGCTCATGTGAAGAGTGCCACCATATCATTAATGATCACAAATAATCAGGAGCTCAGTTTAATGCTTCATCTGAAAGACAGCACCCCTAGGAAAAGCACTTGCTAGTTTAAGATGAGAACTGACTTTTTAATCCTCCAAAATGTGTAACTTTCCTAATAAATTATATTAAAATGATATATTCTGAATCACAATTGGCACTATAATTTCAGAAGAAAATGTCCATTTGGGAAGCCTAAATTTGAGACCTCATGGTGTCATGCAGACTAAAATCTTTAAAAATGGTAATAATGATGGAAACAAAATTACGCACCATAAGGTTTTAAACAAGAAGCAGCATTTCTTAAACTTCAACACATTGTTTGAATAAGTAAAATAGGATTACAGGCCAGACTCACATTACTACTGCAGGTTTTGTATCGAATATTCCGACCTTCACAGTTCCTGAAAAACAGAGTAAAAATGGTTACACTGCATAACAGCAAAACACAACCTTGCCTGTTTTACAGCTAGTTATTCTCTTGAAAATTAGACTTTTATTGCTACTGCCGGACCATAATTTGGACTCAAAATACAAGGTTTAAATACAAAGGGGATCTGGGGACTCAACAGGTTACACTGCTGTCTCTCTTCAGCAAAGAACGTGTGGCTTTCCCTGTAAGCCCAATTTACTGCAAACCTTATGAAAAACACATTTATTTTGTGAAAAAGATTTCACAAGGCACCCCTAAGCCTGATCTATGCTGACTTCAGCAAAGCTACTTCTAATCCACAGGATGTAACCCAGAGGAAAAGAGGATCAGAATATCTAAGCAATCCTTAAATGAAGTATACGGCTAATGAGCATTGATTTTCCTTTCTCCTATTTTGTTTAGGAAAGAAAAAACAGCCTCAAACCTTTCCTTTCTCCCAAAAACCAATGCAACACTTTTGAAGAACAGCACGTAATTTTACTGACCCAAAGCCATATGAGCAGAATTAATAATTTTAAATGAAATGTAATTCTTATGGACTGCATGCATTTCTAAGGTGCACAATGCATGTGAATCCTGAAATCCAAGCAATTCAGATCTACAAAGTCTGTTGTTAGTAGCTGAAAAAACAGGCATATAATAAAGTCATGATTATTTATTGTGGTCTCATAGATATAGGGATGTGCAGGTTTCACACTTTTTTTAGGGACACAGTTTGCCAAAATTCTCAATAACTGACCAGCAGTTTTGCACAGGGCAAGATATTATTCTTCTTAAGAATGGCAAAATCAAGCCCTTGAAAGAACTGAAAACACATTTCAAATGACTTGACAGGAAATTATAATTTGCAATATCTCTAAAATCAGGAATAGTGTTCTGGAATAATCCCTTCATACCAAAAAGACCTGCCTTACGTTAAAGAGTGCATAAATGTATAGCTGGTAATTTACAGCTCGGATTAAATTTTCCACTTTTTGCATGAAAAATTATTGCAAATATTAAAAAATTCTTTAATGTGTGTGAGGGATTGAAAAATAGCATTTGAAAAGGAAAAAGCAATTGATGCCTGGAGCAAGAGTTCAATCAGCTCAGCTGAAGGTACAACTCTCCAAGCTCAAGACATTACATGTCTCAAATTTCCAATCTTTGGCAAGAATGATTGCATCACAACATGCAAGTTAAAAATGTTTATGATACATACAAATGTGAAAACTTTGTTTCACAATTGCGCATTTCCGGGACATTACAACAACAGTAAAACACAGAAAAAAACCTTTTAAACTACACATTTGTCAAGGTATGGAAAACATATGTTTTTCACAGGGGAACACATTAAAGATATTAATAAAACCACAGTGGAATTTATATTGCTGCAGTTTATTGAGCTCATTTCACAGTCCCTAACACACTGGTAGAATATCAAGGCTTCTTGCTGGAAATATTACTCTTCTCAAAGATCTTTGTGCATTTTGCACTAAAAGAAACAGGCAGTGTTTTAATCAATCATCTTTAGCTATGTATTTCATAGTTTGCACTTAACTAGCGTATCACACTACAAGCCTTCTTTAAGAAAAATTGACTTCCTGGGAGATACTGCATTTAACTTAAAAAATCTCAGCAAAATAGAAATTTAAACATAATCAGCGGTTTTTAAAATGTTTAAGAATAATTCAAGTAAAGCAAGCAATTATGGATGCCAGCACAGATGCTTCTAAGCTGGTTGGGATCTCTTCTTGCCTGACTACAAGCCTATTGCATTACTCATACTTTTAGGATTGTAGCAACAAGTCCTACATTAGTCCAGCTTTACTACTGAGGTAAATTGTTTTCACCATGTACGCTGTTCTCTTCAAGCTACACTGAGGCTTATCCGCCAAAACATATGGCCACCAGGACCACTGCATAGAAAGAACTGGCAGAGGAAAAGTTTCCTAACAGAAAGCAGCGTTTGATACATCTATATGTGGAGTAAGTCACTTGTTTTTTTACTGCAAGGAAGACATGGGGGAGCCTGTGCTTGAACATTACTTCAAGTAATGTTCAAGTGCAGGCTAATTTGGAGGCAGGTAACTCACCATTCACTTTATATTACAGTGACAGAGACTTCTCACAGTATTTGACTGTACTAAATAAATCATTCTTGTTATTCTACAAACATATTTAATAACATGCTGAAGTTCTATCAGAGATGAAGGCTCAGATACTTATCTAATATATTATGAAAATATATTGAAAGTAGGATTTAACAACACTTCATCTGTACACAGCACTTGAGTGCCAGAAATAGAAGCAACAATGCTTCTCTATAGACACCATCAGAGCACTGGGAAATACGGCAGAGCTTCAGAAGAATAAATACATACAAGCATGTGGCTTACCTGCCATTTAAACATCTCCTCAGCGAGTAAGAGGCTCCCCCCCCACAGGTCCGTGAGCAATCACTCCAGGACCCCCAGGCATCCCAGGAGCCTTCCTTATCTTCATCAGAGCGGGTAATTCTGGAGGTCTGAAAAAAATGGAGGATGGAGAGGAGAAAAAAAGCATTAATTGGTTTGGTACAAGTTTTACTGCTTAGCATTAATAGTACTGAGTATATTACTTTGCTGCTTATTTACAGTACCTCAGATTTATTTACTATTTTAATACATAATAATTACATGGGAAAGGAAGGAGAGTCTTTGAAGATACAGTGTATCTGATGTGATGCCTTCGGCTGACAGGACTGCTACTTCCAAATATGCTGTCATTACCAACATACGGATGTCCAACACACTGTGTAAGAACTACACAACTGATCTCAAGCAGCCAGACCAGGCATCATGTTCTGAGCAGGCTGCCAGGCTTTCCAAAATCCTGACCAAAGGAGTTTCATATCCAGGACTAATGAGAGGACAAAAGTCTCTTTTTATCTCCTAAATTGTGCCTGCACTGAGCAGTAGCACGGAGATTAAGCACCTCAAATCTTTCATAAAGTGAATGCCCAGAATTGCAATCAGAAAAGCAAAGCAAGAATACAACTTAATTATAAAAAGTGCTACTAATTTGAAAGAGATTGGGGAAAAAGGCTTAAAGAGTGATTTTTAGGCTATAGCAATTAAACAGTGATTTAAGCTTAAATTCACTTACACAGTGCTTCAAAAACATTATTACCCTGACACCACAAATATAAAAATCAAAGATTTGTGACAAAACCCAAAATTCTGCTTGACCCCTTAAAAATGTCATTTCTCACTTGCATTGTATCCTGTTTAAGAAAATTGATGTTTCCCAGAGAAAATTCCCAAAACATTTTAGAACATGGCAGCTAAGCACAATAGTTCAATATTAAAAAGTAATATGAATCAAAGTATTCAATAATGTCTTGCTTTAAAAGAGTACTCTTTGGTTTATGATTTTCTTCATGAAGAAAGCATAGGAAAATCAAATTCAGGATTTCCCCAAGCATTCTTTGACATCACTACAATTCCTCAGCAGCTGTTCTATTTACATGCTACTTTCATTCCTATGTCCCTGCAACCTTTAAAATTTCTCTCTTGAAAAAACATGCACAGATTTTTATAACAAAATGTCAAACATAACAATTCCCTGAGAGTTGTCAGACATATAATGGGCCTGTTATCATAAAGAAATTAAGATTTTTAGAACCCTAAATTACACCCAGACTGAGATGAAAGCACCAATTTCTCTAATCACCATGGTGATAGAGTTTGCACATAAACTACTGCAAACATAACAATGTAACCGCTATTAATATCATTATCAATGAAAGCCATATTGTGGATAAAAATGAGGCAATGAGTCATTTATCTCAGGTGACAGAAAATATTGACCGATATTCACTCTGCCCCAATACAATTCCAAATGAGAGAATGTGAAGAGTTCATCCAAGCTTTACTGAAACAACTATTTATACAGCCAACTTTTTATTCCCATTGACTTCAGTGGGCATCGAAGCAGACCTCAGATAGATAAACAAAGACACTACATTCACATGACTATTTTATTTTTGACACCATAGGAAGGCACAACTTAATCAGATGGTGTTTCAGAATCTTTACTCCCCCTCCCAAAAAACAAGCGCACAGAAACACCAACCAAAGGGCTGTAAGCAAATATAAGGCAAAGAGATAAAAACATTACTAAATAAACTGCATCCAAGTAAACATTTAAGTCTTCATAAGTGCCGAAAACAACAACAAAAAAACGTTTAAAATGCTGAAAAGATTTTCATGAGCGACTAGATCCAGAGAAGCGCAAGAGATTAGTGTATATCCTAATACTAAACCAAATGAACACACTTTAGTAATCCATATTTTCTCTAAGAAATAACTTCAGTAAAGCTCATGAGAAGAAGACTGAGTACTAATTTCTTCCAAAAAGCCTCACGAAAGTGATTTAAAAGTGAGGGATGTGTAATTCAAGTCTTATAGAACATGGGGGATAAAATACATAAGTCTCCTTAAATTCAACAGTACAGATAAAGTCAGCTCATCTTCAGCTGTGAAGAAGTTAACTCAGATAAAAGCCTACCAAGCTTGAAGTGAAAATGGCAAACAATAAAACCAAAGCTCTTTTCAAAATAGCACCATACAAGAATTATGACTCAAATACCGTGCTGTGTAGGCAAAGGCATCTCTCTATTATAGTAAAAAATAAAAAAATAAAAAAAAATTCATGTGCCACAGAACTTGAGAAAACTGGCCTGTTTCGGTGAATGAGCTGTTACACTTAGGATGCATTCACACAGCAGTTTTAAGCATAACTATTGAACAAGCATCATTTTAGAAACCCAAATGGCAAATAGTTAAACTTAGCTACACTTAAGCAGAACTAAGGACTACTCAAACACATTTTAAAGGCATTAATAAGAGTAGGCAGATTTAGTATAATAGTACTACTCCCCATAGTTAAGCAGCTAACAAATGTCAGCAATTTCCAAACTTTTCCATCCCCTTCTCGAAAATCTTGAGCTTGTAAAAAAAATTTTGTTAATTGGAGGATAAGCTATCTCCATTTGAACAGTAAACTGCAGAAATTGGTCTAAACACATCAGTGGCTCCTTAACTTTCTTGCTCCCCTAAGTTTACGAATTTTACAAACACTTAATATAAAGCTTTAAAAATGTACTTAGGCCAATCTGCTGTTCCAGAAACGATAGAGCCCAGCTCTGCCAAGATCCCCAAGGAATTTTCACATTGGCGTTGGGTTTACTTTACATCAGAAGCCAGCTCTGAAATGTCTGACACTGAAAATGGAACCAACTGCCTTCAATCTTGAGCAAAAAGAGCTCAGCACTTCCCAACAAATCACTCATCACATGAAAATAAGTCAAGATGAACAAAAGAGTCACTTCTTTCAAATTTATGAGTGTAAAATTAAAGTTTGTCCTCCGTAATCCCAAGGCAAATGATTGTTTTTTAGTATGTTGAGAAGTGATTAAACTTATGATATTAAAAAAGCAATACATGCCACTCTTTCTTTTAGAATAGCTAGTTTCTTTTGACAAAGCAGTGACAATGCCTAAAATAATCCTAACTTCATCATTATATTAAAACCAGCCACATGATATTAACAGAGAGAATGTCATCTAAAGCCCTAAACAATGTCCAGTTGTTCACTTACCAAACTGCTTTGATAAAAGCCATTGTTCTGAACTGTATCTAATTAAAAAGCTGTAAATACTAGGATGATCAAAGCAGAAGTTTAGGCCAACAAAGCCTTCTTCAGAATCATTGACTAATTCAGTGCCTGCAGTGTTGATTTAAACTCCAGCTAGTTCAAACTATTTGTCCCATGGGAAAGAGTTAAAAGCAGCTTGCACTGGCTTAGTAATTTACTAGCAAAATAATATTGATTTACTAGCTGTCTGGTTTCATAAACTCTACATATTACATTTGTCTACACCATGGTACCAAATTGAAGTAAAATAAAGAAAAGATCATCAACATCATGATTTAAACCAACAAAACCTTGGAAGCTCATTTAGGAATTAAATCAAGAGCTAATTGCAATTGGGCACAAAAGGGTATTATTGTACCTCAGGATTGCATTCATGGTTTGCTTCTTAACTTCAATTTTTCATGTTTTTATTGTTTTCAGCCATAACTCTAACACGGCTCAGCAGTGAAGCTTTGCTGAACCATATTAGAATGGAAGTGTTTTTCCTTTAGTGGTTTAATTTTGCAACAGATGAAGTTCAACACGTACATTAAGTACATTCATTGTGAAAGTATGTATGTACCTACACATACATAAATGTGTGCATATACATGCATATGTGTACCCATGATGTAACATGATCAAGTAAAGCCACAAGTGCTGTAGTGAATCCAGATAAAATAACTTAAAACAGCTATAAATACAACCTAAATGATTTGCTGCTCTTTACGCAGTTGATGGGAAAAGGCGTCACACTTCCACTGGATCCAGCTACGCTAGTGGAGTTGTGTCCATTCCAAAAGCATCACACGTGAACACAGGGTTAGATGCAAGCATTGCACTCAAAGCAACATTTAAGAACATATACAATGTTCTCTGCAGAAATTAATCCAGTTTATATGATAAAGGTAGTTTCAAATATTTCATCCCAATCTATGTATCCAATCTACAATTCATTTTGAAAATATGAAAGTAAGAAAAGAATAAGTCATGACACTGCACACGGGCCTGGGCAAGGATCACTTGAATCAGGGGATGGGGTAAAATAAACTCCAAGTTTTGAAGCACTTGGTGACATAGGCAGAGTCTCAAAAGACTGAGATGACAGTATGCCAAGGTTTCCTCAAGGTCTGAGGCCCAGTAATGTGCAATCTGAGTCTCTGCTGACAACCCTTACCTAACAGAGGCAGCCCTTCTACATGGAGAATTTTACTGAAAGTGTGGCACTGGTAGATTTGGACAGGGGGGTGAAATGTTAGCGCCAGTTTCCCTTCTTCTATCCAGGCCTCTGTTTTGCTTCTGCCACATATGGGCACATACTGTAACACCATGTTCTGCAAATTATTTGTGTGTTTTCAGGCCATACTTGCCTTGCAATGTACTACTCAAAGTAACTGAATATAGCAAAAGTGGGCACTGAGGTAAAATAAATGAAATCCAGATGTTACCAGGGCTGATCATTAACCTAAAACAAGGGGATTTTTACTGTCACTTGTAACACCCAGTAAATAACAACAGCTACATTAACACACATTACAAAAATCAAACACTGTGCTGTTATACGGAGAAGAATGAGTATTTGGCCAAACTTTTGTTTGGCTGTTATGAAGGATGACATAATTGTCTTGAATTTGGTCATGCAGACTTCAAAGGAGATGTGGTGCCAGAGAATGAAGGTCAGTTTATGCAGTTTTATTATTCTTCAGACATCCATTACATAAGGCTTGGATATGTAAATGTTTAGCATTCAGCAAAACAAAGATTCAGCTTCTCAACAGAAATGCTCCAATACCTTAAATGTTTGTTTTCCAGAGTTTTTAACATACATTTTGCTTTAAATACAAACAC